AATTACTTATTATTTAAAATATTTATTTCATCATTTTCGTTTCAATTTTTTAAATATTTCATTGCTTTTCAGGAATAATATATGAAATTTTACAATATTACAAATCTTACAGAAGAATTATTTGAACTTTCTAAAAACTTACAAATTAGAAATTTTTAGCATATTTATTTCTTCAAAATATTATTTGATACAAATACTTTCAAAATTTCTTAATTTAATGGATTTATTTTCAACATTTAACAGAATTTATAAAGGATATTCACTTGGAAAATTCGTTTCAATTGCTAGGAATATTCATTTAATTCATGAAATTATTTATTGAAGTGTAAAATGTTTGTCAGGCATAGAGGGGGAAAGGGAGGGAGACAACGAAGGAGAGAGATGGAGAAAAAGAAGGGATAATGATGGAAAGAGAGAGAGAAGGGGAGAGAGAAAGAAGAAATGCTCATTGCTCTGTCCTTTACGGTTTAGATCATTTCATAGTTCAATTCAACCGGTGTACCTTTCCCTCTTCTTTCTTTATAATTTCCGATTTTTCATACATTCTGAAAGATGTATATGAAATTTTCAGTCATCGCCAAATATATATTTCTAATAATTAAACTGATTTTTAAATTTTATTAAAAAATTTGAGTTGATAAAAAATCTTTTTAAACAATATAAAAATAAAAAATAGTAATGAATGATGAATAAAATAATGTTTAAAAAATGATACTAATTTAAAAGAAAAGAATGAAAACATAGTTTTTTTAAAGTTATTTAAATTAATCTATATATCAATAAATTTGTTAAAATAAATGGAATATTTTTTCTTTTCTTCCTTTTCTTTTTTCCTTTTTTTGTTATTCATAATAATACATCTAATTTAAGTTAATGAAAAACATAGATTAAAAATATTTTCAAATAAAAAAAATAGAAATTAACAGACACTTGACATGATTGTTTTTTTTTTTTCTTTAAAAGAAAAACCATACTAATTCTTAATAACGAAAATTAATTCGTATTTATAATTTAATCTGCATAGAAATATTTATATCTTTAAGATCATTATATATATATGATGCATAATGATACAATTAAGAATTTCCACCTTTCTTTTACGATCAAGAAAATATTCAGAACTAATTGATTCATTTCTTTTATCAATTCCAAACATCGTTTCAACATTTCCATATTTTCCTGATTTCTTCCCAATTCCAGAATAAACATGCCTTTTCCGTGCCATGAAAAACCGGTTCATATTGCTACGAATTCATTTTTTTTCTTTATTATTCTTCTTCATCTTCCTTTTTTTCTTTTTTTTTTTGTTTTCGTTTTCTTCTAATGTTTCTCCTTTGAAACTTTTTCTTTTAGTTTCAAAATTAATTCAATTTTTTTTCTTTCTTCTTTTTTCTCATCTTGTTTTTTTTTTCTATGAATTTATTGATACATTGGTATCCTTAAGTTAATTTGTACTTTTGAAAATTTCCTCATTTTTTATTTTTGTATTTTTTTTATAAATCATAAGCGAATGCTTATCACTGTCATTTATCAAAATGTTTTTTTTTTCAAAATGTTTTATAAAAAATTTTCAATATAAATATGATATAAAATCAATGTTAAATTTAATATGTTTCATTGAAGAAAAAGTGATAGAAGAGAAAATAAGGTAACGAAGTACTAATCGAAAAGATTAGTGAAATCGAATAACAGCGACAAAAGGACAAACATTTCATCAGCTATGAATTTTCTAATTTGATGACAATTTGTAAATAATTCCTAATTTTGTCACTATATTTGTTCATCTTATGATTTACTCATGTATTAGTAAACATTTTAACTAAGTAATTTCACTTATTTCTGTTGATTTACATTTTATTGCTTACTTTATCGAAGAATCATTTTATGTTGTAGAATAGAATAAGTTATTATTATTAAAGGATCATTATTTATTATAAAATTAGGATAAAAAGAAAAAATCAGCCAATAATTATACTTACTTTGTCTTATTACTTTACTGATGATTCATTATAATCTGACTTTACTTACTTCACTGATAAACTATCCTAATCTGTTATTTACTTTATTAGCAAATTATCCTAACCTAAATGAAACCATTCTCTTTAATTTCTACTGCATTTATATTTATTATAGTATGAGATAAAAGCACTCGAATTAAAATATTTGTAGTCGAAATACTGAATATCTATAATTTTTACGGTAGTTATTATATTAAATTGAAATGATGAATGAATGAGAGAAATTATTTAGCTGAGAAGTACAATAATTATTGCAAATTAAAACCGAAATAGATTTTTTACAAAAAATTATGAAACGACAAAATTTGATAAAGAACAGAAGAAAAAAAAGATGAGAAAGAGAAAAGAAGAAATTATTTTCTTCCTTTCTTTCTTCTTTTTCCAAGATAGTTTTTTTCTTTTTTGTGAAATTTTCAGATCCTTATCATTCACATATTTCATACATTCATCATTCATTTATTTGGGAAGGAAATACAAAAAAAAAAAAAGAACATATTTTACAACATTGTGATATATTCGAATTGATTAATCTCAAATGTTCCAAAAAATTATGAAATGAAATAATCTCTCCCAGGCTAATCCCCTTTTCATGCTTGTCTTTTTGATTGTTCGTAAAATTTGACCATCGTTCATTTCAAATACAAATATTTGCATACAACAAACAATATTTCATTTATTTCTCTTCTCTTTCTTTTTTTTTTTTTTTTTTTTTATTTAGATGATAATAATTTTGATAAATATTTCCCTAATCTTTTTTATTTTAATAGAAAAATATAAATCTTTTGAAATTTTATTTTATTTTATTTTATTTTTTTGCTACAAAGAAAAAGAAAAAACGATCAGAAATGATGGACAAACATAGACAAAAGGTATGACAGAGCAAAGTTCACAGAAAAGTAATCTGATAGGGTAAAGTTGATTTCGCTGTCCCTCTCTTTTACCCATCTTTACTTACCAATGATTAATTACATTCACACCCTAAATACATATGTCCACACATACATTTCTCTCACATACACATACACATGCAGACATACACACATACATACATACATACACACATACATACATACACACATACATACATACACACATACATACATACACACATACATACATACACACACACGTACGTATACTTCAAATTTTCAGAATAGGGAGGGAATACTGCAGTTAGCTTTTGGCACTTATCCCTTTTCCTCAATTTCCATTTCCCTTAACTGCAATGCGATAGATAAATAAGTGGCGATGATGATAGTGATATTAATAATGATGATGATGGATAATGATAACGATGATAATGACAATTTTAATGACAATCCTAGTGATGATAATAGTGTCTGACTGTGATAAAATTATGACAGCAACGGTGTTGTTAGCGGTAATGATGGTAATAATATTTAATAAATAATAATTAGTAATAATAATAAGTAATAAATAATAATAATGGTGGTAGCAGTGATGGTGATGATGATTGAAGAAATAATAATAATGGTAATGATGATTGTAAATGGTTCCTTCGTCCTCCTTCGCCTCATTTTCGGCCTCCTCATCAAATCTGTCGATAAGATCTGTCCAGAGTAGAATTCTTAGATGCCATTTTATTTCTTAAATGCAACAGTTGCAGCGAAGCGAATATTTAAATCTGAGGAAAAAATGAACTGAAATAAGTGGCATTATGACATATCTAACATTCAAATTTAAGCTAAGTAGTAATGAAATCAATTGATATTTTATAGTTTTAATTCAACTTCAATTTCAAAAAATTCAATGCCAATTTTTGCACTTCCAATCCCAATTCATTTCCAATATTTAAGTTTACAATTTTTTTTTTTTTTTTGGAAAGTCTATTATTTATAACCCTTTCAATACTATTACACAAACACCCAATTATTATTGATATTTCAATCAAATATCCGATTAATCCGCTCAAGCCTGATTGATGCCGAATTTATTCACAATATGAATTCTCTCTTTCGTCTTTTTTATTACGATTATATGCTCTTAATATCATTGATAGAAGGAAATGGCTTACGTTATACCTGCCATATCATAAATGAAATTTAGACGGATCATTTGGCTTTTCTCAACTAGTCCATAGCACCTAATAAGACTAAAATAATTTATTTCAATTCTTTTCTTTTGATTTTAGTTCAAATATTATTTGATCGTGCATTTTGATTCCTTTTTTTTAACTTTGATATTTTTTGTTTTGATATTTATTTGCTTATTATATTTCCAATGAAATATTTTAATGGTTCATATTTGTGAACCTTTCTTAGATAGATATTTCCTATTTGAATATTTCGCGTTAGTTCCAGCTGTGATATGTGAACTTACAGTTTTGAATTACATTCCAATAATTTTAATTGATTTCAACTTGGGAAAAATTCCTTTATTTAAAATGTATTTATTTGAAATGAATTTACGAACTATTAACAAATTTTGGAAGAAAAATTTTCATTAATTTTGCAACGATTCTTTTTGACTGCTAAAAATATTGGCAATAAATAATATTCATTTGCTTAATTTTTGAAAAATTCTTCATTAAATATTTTTTCATTATATTCTTTTTTTGTTACCAATTACTGTTCATTTCTTGTTTCCACTAAGTTGTATTTAATTTAACATATGAAATGAATATGTTTGAGTATTTCATTATTTTCCGGATTGCTCCATTATCTTTTCCATATGAGAAATTATTATCTATTCCTGGTGAATTTCAGTGAAATGATCAATTTTACTATTATTTAATCATGTTCATACATTTTCTCTGAATTTTTATTTTCAGATTTCTGAATTTTTATTTCGTACCAGTATTATATTAATTATACGGGACGAGATATCGCTGTTTAACATCGAAACATCCCTCAATTTTTTTGATGAAAAAAAATTATGTCACCGGATGACATTCCTTCTACGAAAAATTCTTCCATATTTTTGTCATTATTCTCGAGAAAAAAACGAATAAATAGAAGTGTTATGGAATCACTGGATGATAATAAGAAGGTCACTTCAACCGTACGATTTTTAGCAAACGGAAAAACTAATAACAATACAAATGTCAAACATACCAATGGTCATAATAATTTGGAAAATTCGGAAATGTCAATGGTACCTTCATTTGAATCAGCAAGCACAAGTTTGATCAGTGAATTTCAGCTACCGAAATTATCATTTCAACAACAACAAAAGCAACAACAACAACCGCAATATGAACCAACAAAAACCGATTTTACATTTACAGATCATAAACGATATTCTAAAAATTTTCATGAAGATCATCATATAAAAATTGATGATTTATTGTCATCACAATCGGATATTTTATCAAATGTTCGATCACGAAGTGAAAGTCGAAGTATACTTGAAAAAAGTCCTGTATTTCCGGTATTATCAATGCCAAAAAAGGCATATTCAGTTGGTGCAATGAATCATTCCGATCCGGAATATCTTATGGAAGCACTGGAAACGTTAGCTGATACACAACCACGTGTTGCACGTTCAATTCCAAAACATGCCATCATTGATACCAGTAATTTTGTTGCACGTTCGCTTGATAATTGTCTTTTTGATGCGACAGTATACGATGCAATGCTTCATGATTCTCTTAAGGTTTTTTTCTTTTCGTTTTTCCATCCCTCTCTCCCTCCTTTTTTAAATTAATTATTTTAAAAAATCTTTAAAAATTTCTTGCATATGATCAAAAATAAAGCATTTAATTAAGTAAAAAAAACTGATGGAAATAGAAAAAAAAAGAAATAAAAATTAAATTATTAATAAGTTTAAATTAATTACAAAATTGACTGTATTGCCCATTTCTATTCATTTGTTTGAGAATAAATGAATTGATAAAAATGCGACTTGTTCTCTTTTTCTAGTTTAATATTTTTTTTTTTTTTTTTCATTAAAAATTTAACAAATCTATAAATGAATGATTTAGTTATAAAATAGATTTTGTTTGAAAATACACACATAACTAACTAATTGACTAAATAATTAGTACCAGATATGATTCATTGATAATTTTGCAATATATCATTCTTATTATCTGTCATTTTCAACTAAATTACATTTAACAGGCAATTTATGCATATAAGCCAAATGCTAAGCTCATTTAGGCTAAGAAGATTATTTCGTTTTAATTCCATTTAAGATATGAAAATTTTATTGATGTTTAATTCACACCTTACTTTTTATTTGACTTATTGAAAATCAATAAAAATTCCCATTTACCTCTCCATTTTTGCTTTTCAAAATTTTCATTGTATTTCATTTACTTATAATATCAATTAACTAATTAAACAAAAAATGAAAATTTCTATCTGACATGATACATCGAATAGTAATTCAAATTTCTCTTAAATCTTTTCATTCTAAACTCCATCATGTGAAATGAAATTAGTTTAGCTATTTTTTTATTCCCCAATAAATCCGACAAAATTTGCATATCATTTAGTTTTGTATGATTTTTGAATTTTTAAGCATAAGATTTTTTAAATTTTAATCATATTCCTATGAATAATTTTGCAATATATGAATAACATTTTAGTGCCATTAAGAAAACGCTTTTTCTTTCAATTTTGTAATTTTTTACAAATATTAATGTCATATATTGTCCACTTTATAATCCATAGTTATCATTTACTACTAATCTTTGAATTAGTACAACATTATTGATATATATATATATATATATATATATCAATAATGTTGTTTTGATTACGAAATGAAGTCCAGGAGCACTTTTCTAATGGCATAAGAGCTAATCTATCAATTTCGATTTGACTTATCAAGTTTGCATTCAGAATATCAACCACATGTTTCATCTGACCGATCATTTATTATTGCTAGAAGTTATGACAGATTATAATATTAAAATTTTAAATTGTTAGAGGATGACAAATATTAGTGTAAATAAATTTCAAACAAAAAATTGTTACAACTTTTTTTTTAAATAGCAAAATTTTTAATCAATAAGATAAACAGTTGTTTAGCAGTTAATATTGCAAAAATGATAGAATGAAAAATGAAAGTTTCATAAAAATTTAATTAAAATTAATTTTGGTTAGTACAGCTTATAAATAATTAACTAAGCTTTAATTAACAAAAAAAAAAGAAAACAAATGAATAATTATTTTCTTTTCAAATTTTACCATTTTTCATTTAAATAAAATCAATATAATTTCATTACTTACGGATAGTTAAACGAAGAAAAAAAAATAACTCCACCTTATTCCAAAACGATTTTATGCCATTCTATAATGATTTCATTTGCTCTCAAAATCGATTTCTCTAGCAAATACTCTAAAGCATATTAAAAGATGAAATCGAAATTTGAAAATTAATAAACAAAAATATTATTAATTAGATCATTTTGAATATATTGCATTCATTAAATTCTCAATTCGAGAAAAAAACAGTGAATAAAATAGTTTTTATCTTATAATGTCTTCAAATTAATTAATTATAATGTATTTCGCTTTTTCTTGTTTTTTTTTTTCTTTCGATTTCTAATTTTTACCGATAAAACAACTCTTTGTTTCTTTTTCTCATTTTTCTTCACTGATACTATAATTATCATAGTTAACCAGTAATTAATCATAGTTAAATAATTATTTCATTAACTATAAATTAATGTTACGTTAGATTAATTATTACTATTTTGTAATTAATATCAAACTAATCATTTTTGATATATGATATTAATACCAAAAAATATACACATATCATTATTTATTTAATAGAAATCATCAATTAATCGATCAGTTGATAGATTTTAACAATCGATTGATGTTATAAATACGCTAACGACTAATCTTTTTTTTTCTTTTCTTTTCGTCCTTGTAGCATTTTGATGAATGATTTATTGGGCTTTTTAATCGGATACCATCTGACCTTTCTTTTCTTCACCTTTCTATCGTACCTTATAAAATAAAACTACAAGCAAACTGTGCTAAATGCATTCACTCATTCATTTCATTGCTATCCTTTTCCTTCTTTCATCCAAAATTTGTGTCCTTCTTTTACGAGGGATATAAAAAAAGAAATCAATCTTTTTCATATAAAATTTAATTTGACAAAAATTTCAAATTTTTCGAAATTTTTTTTTTAACTGATAGCTTGAAAAACGAAAAAAGAAAGAAAAAAGGCAAAGGAAAAGAAGTAGAAGAAGAGTCGCCTCATAAAAATTTAAATGTTATAATCATTGCTAATGACTGCTTACGAAAAAGTTAAAATGAATGAATTTTATTATACTATCACAAATTTTTCTTCATAAGCCTTAATGAAGTGGAATGTTTGTTAATTTCATTTTTTTTGCAAAAAAAAAGTTTATTTACCAGAAATGAATTTTATTTTTAAATAAAAAAAAAACAAAACTTATTTTATTCTGTTTTAATTTTTTGAAAATTTGGATGTAAATTATAAAAATTGTTGGTGGCAAGAATATATAAGTGATATTTTTGTATATATCTTTTTTTGATAAACTAATTTTCAAATTTATCCTTCAACTACTGATTTATACATAAAGCAAACTAAGCAAATCAATATAATTTTAAATAGCTTTTCATAGCCATTTTACCAGATTTTGTTCACTAGAAAACATCACATAGTATTTTTGAAGAATTTTTTTTCCTTCCCTTTTGGTCAATTAAAAAAAACGAAAAATTCAAATAATGTTGCAATTAATATCATTCAGTGGTGCTCAAAGTCTTCAGCCATATAATCGGAGTAATTTTGCTCTTTCGTCGTTTACAAGACTTAATTTGAAATTTAATAGATAAATAAAGCCTTCGAAATGACTTTTTTTTAAGCTAACATTTATTTTATTTTATTATCGGATTAGAAGAAACGTTTTTTTCCTTTTAAAATAATTTGTCACGAAAAAGATTCGTAAATTGCATTTGCAAAATCTATGCTTGCAACAATGCATAGAGTTAAAAAAAATATGCACAATTTTTTTTCTTAAAATTTTAGCTTAATTTAAACTTATAAATGCTGAAAAAAGTAACATATTAAATCAATTTAAATTCACAGAATTAAAATTTTCACATAAACTAATAAATATTTAATTCCAATCGTTCTTCTACGATTGATTTCATTTCATTAATAACATTTCTCTTATTTTCTTAATCTTATTCATCCTTTCTTTTTTCTCTGACAATTTATTATCAAAAACTTGAAATGCATAAGTTGTAGAAGAAGCAAAAAAAAGAATTTTTTTAAAAGTCTTCTAAGAAAACTTTTTTTAATTTTCGATGAAATTTAATAGAGAAAAAAAAAGAAAAAACATAAACAATTTGGAAAAACATAATTTATCTTTCTTTTGCATGCATAAAATATACAAAAATTTCTTTAATCATCAAAATGTCAGATGACAAAAAAAATTCAACGAAAAGTATTAATTTAAAAAAAAAAAAAAATTATTTTCTTAAACGGTCAAAAAGATATGCAACAAGAAACTTTTAGTCTCCTTTTCTATACCTTTAAAACTCTTATATGTTTAAAAGGACTTTAAACAAATTTAATTAAAATCAACAAGCCGGTTCTCTCCTTTTTCAATTGTTAAATTAAAATTTTAAAAATTTACCAGTCCTATTTATTTTAAAAAAATTTCACTAGTCCAAATATTATTTACCATCTAAATCATTTAATGATCTAAAATGTGATATGATAAAAATTTTCATTTTATATTATTCTACTTTGGCAAAATGAGCTTACTTTTTGCTAGCATTAAAATAACATTTAAATTTTCAAAATTCTAATTTGACATTAAATTTATATCAGCAAATATTTTCTGTTTTTCCATTAGGCAATTCTTTTCCAATTAAAATCATCAAATTCACTTAATAAATTGTAATAATTTTTATTGGAAAATTATTTTAGAGTGCCATTCCATCTGAATGCACTTCAATTAAAATTACGATAGTTGCTTTTTTTATCAATCACATTTCATCGATAATTCTTTTCAATTTTGTAAATTCATTTCAAATATCATTTTTTCCCCTTTTTTCGTCGCGCTTTGCGTCTTTCTCACTTCTCCCTCTTTCATTCTTTAATATTGTAATTAATAAACAACTATCGAAATTGTAAACAAGAACAAAAAAAAAAAAAAAGTCTAAAAAGGAAAATTAATAAATGAAGTGCTGAATCAGCAAAAATTACTTCGTGCTTTCTTTTCCCCCTCCCAAAAAAAAAAAAAAATACAAATTAAAAAGATTTCATGAGAAATTTTAAACTTTAGTTATGCATGAAATTTTATTTCATACCTTTCAAGAAAAAAATTATAAAAAACAATTTTCTACCATTCATATTTTTTCATTTTTTCAAGAATAAATTGATGAATTTAGGAATGATAAACTACTATTCTCCAAATTGTATTACTTCAAAATTTATCGTCTGTTCGTGTCTTTTTTTCATCTAATTTGAAAAAAAAAATAAAAAATACCTGATCCGATCTTTTTTACATTTGTTCCTAACATAAAAGGAAAGGAAACTATGCAGACTTCTTGATGAAAAAAAAAAATAATAAGAAATGAGCAAACAATCAATGTTAAATTATAAATGTGTTAATTAAACTAAATGTAATTTCTTTCCAATAAATTATTTAATGATAAGAAAGAAGGAGAACATTTAAAAGTGAGATATATTTAAATTAATTGATTTAAATATGTTTAAATTAATTAATTGATTACATGATATTAGTTACGATAACTTTATTTTTTACATTATTTATCAAATTTTTTTCCTTTTGTTTTTATTCGTAGTAAAAGATTTAGAATTGAACTTCTTATTGTTTTCTATTTGTTAATAATTTTGCTGAAAATTTATCTCAAATTAAAGTTTAAAGTTTATAGACTTGATAATTCAATTTTGATACAAATTTGGAATGAGAAAAATACTGCACATGGTGACGCATCTGTTAATTAATTAAAAACGAAATAATGTAATCATTTAATTAGACATATTTCAAATTCAACCAATATTTCATTTAATTTTTAAATTCCCCCTACAATGAAATGATAAAATCATTTAATCACAAACATTTCAAATTTGAAGAATATTTTAGTAGCTTTTAAATTTCTCACATGGTAATTAAAGAAGATATAATATAATGAATCAAATTTCACTATTAAATTACTAAATTTTAATCTTTGGAACATTTAGAAGATAATGCTTTTTTTTTAATTTCAGAATTCACTTAAATCTGTTATGGCTTAACATAATTCAAGTTAATTTAATTTTTTAACAAATGTAAAAAGATTTAGGTAGATCCAGAATTTGTACTTATAAAATCTAAAGACCACAACAATCAATAAATTAGTTTGAAAAGATAATGGAAGTGTTTCTTTTTTTTTCAGTGAAGCATTAAGAGATACTTTCATTTCTTGCTTTTACTTCTTGATTTTTTGAAAATTAATTTTCCTTTTTTTTGAAATAATCTTTGTAAGCTCATTTTATTTAATGTTTGAGAATTTATTAAAGGAACAGGAAAAAAGATTGAAGAGATAAGAAATCATTTTCTTTGTTTTTTTGAAAACTTAAGTCTTTATAAGAGAATTTTTTTAGTTTTCTTTTTTTTTTTTTTGAATAGGCAAAATATGTATGTGTATCTTTGAAGAACTGAAATTTCTATACGAAAGGATAATAAAGTTTTGAAATTATTAAATTTATTGGAGTAGTTTAATTTCTTGTAACATTATTAACTTTAAATATTATCAACAAATTGTCAAAATTTGATAATTCAAATTATTACTTTGCAATTATATTATAAAATTATAAATCATCTAAGAGATATGTATGATTTTGTTAAATTTAGTTCCAAAATTTGATTCTAATATAAACACACAAAAAAGAGAAAATATTGCTATTTAATTTAAAAAAAGAACTGTTCTTTTTTTTTTTTCCAGGTTTGTGAAATGCTTCAAAATCATTTGAATCAATGTATTGTCACAGCTCGTACAAATTGTTCCAATGGATTTTTGGAGGTATTAACGGAAGAAAGTGAAGAAAACATGGAAACAACGTGTAATAAAAATGAACTTGACAATATAACGTATCATTCTACTACTAATAATAATATATTAGTATCATCTAATAATAATAATAATGAAACACTTAATATTACGGTTAAACCTAACGAATAATTTAAAAAAGAAATATAAATAGAAAAAAAGGATTATTAATTGATCTTATAAAATGCAATAGATTAAGCTAATACTTTAAAAAATGATAATCTTTTTACTTCTACAAATGTTATTTATTATTAGTTATTCAACAATCAATGAAAAATCGTATTGCATTAAATTACTAAATTTGATAAAATCATGTCAAAATTTTTGAAAAATTAATGATATGTCACATTTGTTTTCTCTTTAGCTCTAATAAATTTCATTTTATTTTCTTTATCTTAACAAAATAAAAGAATTTTTACTGTGTCTATAAATTTAACTTTTCTCTCAAATTAAATTACTCATTTAAAACAAATTTAAATTACACAACTGGTAACATATAATATTGGCAACAAAAGTTATGGTATAATTAATAAGTTTGAAATTACTAATGTACTCATTAATACAAAAGTAAATTGAAAAAAATAAAAATGATAGAATTAGTAAAAAGTGCAATTGGAAATGAAATTGCAAAAAAAAATGATACAATTAAAATGAAAAAATCGATGGTTAATCGCTGAAAAGTAGTTATGTTAAACAAAAAATTAAGCTATTTAAGTTAATCATAATGAAAGATAGTAACAAACTAAGATGGTATCAAATGAATAATATAAATACAGAATTAATGATATTACGATATTTCTGTGACATATTATGGTTCGTTTTGTTATTTATTTGAAAAATGATAACTGATTAATAATTGTAATCGAAAGTAATACCTATAATATGCAATAATTTATGAATAAATTTCAGTTAATGCTAATTAAGTGGAATTTATTGTTTTTTCTTTTTTAACATTGTATAAAAATAATCATTCATGTTTATTTGTATATTTTTTTCTCTTTTCTTTCGAATTATAAATTATGAAATTAATTATATATTTCATATGATTAATAATGAATAAAAAGACATGTTATAGCAAAAAATATTTCTAAAATAATAAAAGTTTGAATTCTTAGTTTTTAATTTAATGATTAACTATTATTATTGAATATTCCATTAACATGACTCGCAGCTTATGTCAAATAAATTTTATAATAAATGAAAATGATTAAATAAATTATACGGATTCCTTTTCACATAGGATTTAATTACTGGAATTTCTTTATTTCTTTTCATTCATATATGATCCATTCTTTTCATTTTCCCTCTTTTTACTGTTATCTTTGTTTTTGCTCATCGTTATTTTTGCTCATGGAAAAAAGGGAACAAGAAATTTTCCCATAAAGCAGGTGGGAAAACTTTGCAGAGATATGAGAAAAAGAATTTAACAAATTCATATTATTCGTTAGCTTTGTTAAAATTCGTAAAATTTCATATCGGAAATTTTCACTTAATTAATAGATATAGCAAAAAAAAGGTATCGGTGTGATATATGATCTAATATGAACTTTTACAATAATTATGGACAAGAAATTATTATCTAAACGGTTTAAAAAATTGTTTGTTTAAAATTGCTCAAAAGTTAGTAAAAATAGGAATATTTACGGATTTATACCGCTTATCTAATAGAGCGATAGAAATTTTTTTTTTCAAATATTTGAATTTTGTAATGTATTTTTTTTTTTTTTGTTGCTATCAAAAAACTTGGAAATTATTTACTATTTTTTCCAGAAGAAAATTCGGCATAAAATTTTTTAATGGAAAAATTGAATTTTATTAAAATCAACGTAAAATTTAACGGTTAGCTAAAAAATACTTTAGATTTCTCATCAATAGTAATCATTTAAAAGAAAAAAAAAATTGATTTATTTCTATAATAGTTGCAAATAGATTAAACTAATAATTTGTTGAAATTAAATATCGTATAGCGCTGGAGAAATTTTCGATGCAAAATTCCAAATTTATTAACTTTTGAATTTCAATATATATTTCATGTAATTTAATTTTAAAAGACCTCCAAATTTCAAGTAAAAATACTAAATTTCTGAACTTCAAATTTCAAATAAGGAAACATTTGATTCCGTTTCTAATAGAAACAAGAAACATTTTTAAATGTTATGAAATGAAAATATTTTTTAGTGTGAATTTTTTTCTTAGTATTTAATATGTTTTCTGCTTTATTATTTGAACAAATTGTATAGAATTATCTATTTTAATCATATCAAAAAAAAAAAAAGTTAAAAACTGAAGAAGCACAATTATGATTCCAGCTAATTAAATCAATTCAGTAACTTTTTCATTTTTATTTAAATCAGTAATTCAAATTATTTGAACCATTTTAGACAAATACGTCTTCTCGCTCAGTTCTTTCTTCAAAATAAAACTCTCAACTTCCTTATTGTTTTATTTTCTTAAAAAAATTTAACTTGAATTCTATTCCTAATATAAACTAATATTTAACATACAATATTTAAAATTCAAAGTATGTATTTTTCTATATGAGTGATATTAGTTTCAATTTATTTCTGTTAAATCTCTTTATTACACTGCTAATTTCAATTAGCGGAATGGGAAAGAGAAGGTGAAAGAAAGAAAAAAAAAGAGCCATTAAGAGATTTGATAGCAATCATTATAAGGGATAAAGGAAATGATTACAAAGGAGAAAAGATGCTAAATAAGCCGGAAGCTTTTTATAAAATGACCGGCGGAATAGTTAAAGTAAAAAAAAAAAAAAAATAATAATATTGGCAATGACCGTTTGGTAAATGTAAATAAAGAATCATTTTCCAGAAGAGACTTTATGGATGATGACCAACTGATCGTTTGTTTTGCTGCATCATAGTTATAATAAACTGCATGGATAGTGTGACACTTCTAATATTTCAGATAATAACAAAAGAAAGAGAGAGAGAGAGGGAGCGAGAGAAGGCTATTCTACTTAAAGATTTTTTTAATTTAAAATTTAATTCAAAAATTGCTTTAAAAAAAAGATATTCTTTTTTTCCTTTATTTTTCTCTCGCTTATTCCCTTAAGCATTCTCTAATATTGATAAATAATTATATTATTTGATGTAAATTTATATTTTGTATGACTCATCGAAAAGATTTTTTTTCAAATTCTTCAATTTTAAAGAAAATATCCATTAGAAATATTTTAAATCTCGCAAGCAGCATTTTCTTGATTTTCATTTTACTTTATTTTTTTGTGTAAACGTTACTTCTAGGGTAAAAAAATATTATTGACTAAATTAAATTATTGTTTTTAAACATAAGATGATTAGGAATAAAAAATAAAACAAACATAAAATGATTAAATTATTATTAATTGCTTCATTAGTATTTGATGTACATATTTTCGTGAAATTTATTAGCTAAAATAGCAAAAAAGTGTTACATGAAAAAAATCAAACATTTAGTAATTAATGTATTATTAAGTAGAAATTATTGTCGTGTAAAAAAAAGAGAATTCAAAATCATTAAATAAAATCAATCGATTACTGTTTTGTGGAAAATAAATTTTGACTAGCAGCAAAAAAAAATCATGCAAGAACTATATAAGAAAAAAAAAACAAATAAAAATAAAAACTTATCAACTGAGAAATCATTTGCAAAGATCAAGGAAATATAAATTAAATTAACTAAGGATATAAAAATTAAATTGATTAGAAAGTAGCATACAAAGGTCAAGTAAAGAAAAAAAGAAATTAAAAATTAATTAATTAAAATGGCAGGCTAAAATAATTTCAACTAAAGAGAAGCACACGGAAGTAATTTATTAATTTAAAGAAAAGCATGCAAAGATCAAGTTAAAAAACAGAAATAAAACGAATTAAAAAATAGCATGAGAAGATTAAATGGATGAAAAGAAATAAGAAATAAAAATAATCAAATTGGCATGCAAAGTCAGTAAATAAAAAACAAATGAATGATCAGTTGGAAAGTGCCACGCAAAAAAGTTAAGTAAATAATAGTAAAAATAATTAATTAGAAAATAATATGCATAGGTAAAGTAAATAAAAAGATAAGGAAACAAAGATTAATGCAGTGAAATTAATTAAAAAATAGCATGCAGAGTTTGAGTTAAGAGCAAGTGTGAACAAAAAGTAATATATTTAGGGTTAGGTGAATAAAAATAAGAAACAGAAAATTAATTTGAAACAGGATACGAAGGTTAAGTAAATAAAAATAAATTAAAATAATTATTTAGAAAATAGCATGCGTATGCTTAAGAAAACAAGACAAATTAGAAAAGGAATTAATTAATTAAAAATTAGTATGCAAAATTCAGATAAATAAAAAATTCGGAAATAAAAATTGTTAGTTAAAAATTGCATGCAAAATTTAAGTAAAAAAAAGTAAGCAAAAATAAATAATTAACCAATAAACAACGTGAAGAAATCAGGTAAACAAAGCAAACAAGAATAAAAATTAATTGGAAAATAGCGTGCAAATGGCAGGTAAATAAAAAATGCAGAAATAAGGCTTATTAAAAATTGCATGCAAAAATAAGTAAACAAAAACATGCAGAAATAAACAATTAACTAACAAATAATGTGAAGGAGTTAAGTAAACAAATGAAGCAGAAATAAAAATTAATTTAAAAAAGTAGCATGCAAAGATAGAAATTAATTTAAAAAAAGTTCAGGTGAATAAAAAATGCGACAATAAAAATTCATTAGTTAAAAAGGTGGCTTGCAAAGTCAGGCAAATAAAAAAATGTAGAAATAAACAAAAGCATGTTGAAAAATAGCGTGCAAGGTTCCGGTCAATAAAAAAAAAGCAAAGATGAAATTTAACTGATTAAAAAATACGGAATATTAATTTATTAGTCAAAAATGGCATGCAAAAGTTAAATAAAGAAAACATGCATACAAGGTCCAGGTAAATAAAAAATGCAAGAATGAAAATTAATTAATTAAAGAAAGAAAAATTACGAAACAATTAATTAAAAATTACATCCATATATAAAAAAAAAAAACAAACAAAAGTTAAATAATTAAATGCGGCATGCAGAAATTAAGTGGATAGAAAAGAAATTGAAATTAGTTAATAAAGTTAACCAATAGAAGCGTACATAAATAACTTATTAATTGAAATATAGCATGCAAAGTTGATTGAAGTCAGTTGCAAAAGTCATCTGAATAAAAACATATAGAAATAACAGTTAATTAATTAAAATTAATGAAAACTTAGGTAAGTAAGAGCACTAAATTAAATAATTAAAAATAGCATGCAGGCCTTTAATTGGTAAAAACACAATAAAAAAACGAAAATAATTTAATGAAGGATTGCATGCTAAATAATGCGGATGGAAATAAGTACTTAACGTATGAAGAAATAGCAGACAAAATTTAAGCAGAAAAACAAGTAGAAATAAATAATTAGTTGAGAAATAGCATGCAAGAGCAAATCAAAAGATTTAAAAAAGAATAATTAAAAAGTAACAAGGAAATGATAGAAGAGTAAAAGATTTTGGATACAAAAATTAATTAAAATATGATAAGCAAACGTTAAATAAAAACAAATAAATAGGTAAAAATTAAAATGAATTTAAGAAACACAAATGCGGAACAAGCGTGAAAAAGCGTTCAATTTGTATAAGTAACATAAAAAAAAATGCTGTAAATTAAAAAAAGCGGCAAATAACTTAAATTATCGGGTGATCGTGCAGAATAATAGGCTGAAAGGTAAAAAAAAGTGAAAATAACAAAAAAAAAAAAAAAAAAATATCGCAATTAACAATGCTTTCAAAATTAATTTACAGCATCATATAAAGGGAGGAGAAATTCACAAAAATAGATCAACGATTACTTAAATGATAACCTGTATAGAGTGATTACTGGTACATGATTACTTATATGATTACTTAACAAAGGTAGACTATGTTCTTTCATAAAAAGATGGTTAATATAACTTGCAAAAAATATTTATGGAAAATAAATCATATTTTGGAAGAGAAATTAAACTATTTAAGGCATTCACATAAAAATTAAAAATGATATTACATATTTACTGTAACTAGAAAGAAAAGAAAATAAACAAACTGATTATGTAAAATATTCCTTCCTATTCCAATAAGATAAAATTTTAACCAATAAAAAAAATTATAAGTTTGTTAAAAGATGATCCACTAGAAAATGGAACAATTTATGAGATAAATAAAACAGTGCTAAACATAGCTGGCAATAAAGTTGAAAATTAATGTTTTTAATTCATAAAACGTTAAAATAAAATCTGCAAAAAAACGAAACATAGAGACTAGAACAACAGTAATAACTGATTTTAAATTTCTATTAAATTAATTAATTACAATTACTGTTAAATAATAAATTGTACAAACAACAAGAGAAATTGTCATTTCATTAAAATAATGACGCCAAAAGAATAACAACAAAACTATAAAATAATAATGCTGGTCAATAATAGGATTAATCAAAATAATAACAATATTATCAAAAAGAGAAAACTATAATATTATTAAAAATAACAAAATGCTGATCAGTAATAATATAATAATATTGATCAAAAATAAAGACCAAAAACAATAACAACGCTGATCAAAAAAGGAAAGATGTTGATCAAAAATAAAAATAACGATATGATTGATCAAAAATAACAATAATATTGATCAGAAGTGATAACAATGATTGACAATTAATAATAAGAACAATATTGACAAAACACAATAATAATAGTAAATAATAGTGGTCAAAAAAATAATAATCGAAAATAAAAAAAGTAATATTTATCACGAATAAAAAATAACAGTATTAATTAAAAATAATAACAATAATATTGATCATAAATAATAATAACAGTTAACAATAAATGCTAACAAAAATATTGACAATAAAAAAAAAAAAAAAATTAAAAAAAAAGCCAAAAAAAAAAGTTGTAAAAATTCTTGATACAATTAGTGGAAGCAATCAATAATTATAAAATAGGATTGAGGAATCTTAAGAATTAAGGAAGATTAAAGGACACTGACAAAAGGAAACGCAGATGACAGTAAAGTCGAAAAATTAATAAACAACACAATTCTTAACAAAATACTAGTAATAAAATAATAATAAAAGAAATTCCAATGAAAAACGGTATTCGTACAAAAAAATAATCACTGCATAAAAGACAATGTCTTAGTGGTTCTTATAAATAATTACTACTTTATGGATAAATATTTTACAGCAAAAAAACTATTAATAATTATTAATAGCGCAAAATACAAGAGAAAAAAAAAAAAAAAAAAAAAGATACATCGGAATTCAACAAAAATTTACACATTTAAATTTCTAAATCCAAACAAAAATTTATAGATCGAAATTTCTAAATTCCTCGAAAAAATCAAAATTAGGGTTGTCAAAAATTTCAACAGGTTGAAAAAATTATGGAACAGTAATACAGTTTTCTTCCTAAAACAAAAAAAACTCCCTGTATGTTTTACTCTACAGTAAATCGACAATTACTCTAATTTAATTAAATTGAATAGTTAGTATCATTTAGTATGAATGCAGAATATTTATGTGTTCGATATGTTAGCGTTACTTTCGCTTGTCACTTTTTTTTGAATTCGAAAGACATAAATGGAGAATTGGATTGTATTAGATTTGAAATAAATACTTCAAGAAAGAACTTTACTGATGAATTACATCAGAGAGACGAAACGTGCCAATGAATCACATCACCGTCCTTGCTAGATCTTTTTTCTTTGAATTCTTACTGTCCTTCAAGGTATAATTTTGACGTTTCTTCATTTCTTACTTATTATCTTATCGATTTTTTGTTCGTTCGGTTAGAAAACGGATGAAATAGCCTAGATATTCAACTATTTGATGACATTGATTAATGGATTTATTATTTTACTTCGATTATTCAGTAATGAAAAAATTTCATTTCAACATTGTAATACCGGCAATGTGCGTTATTTCGGACTTTTTTTAACTTGTGCAAAAATATAATTTTATCAACTTGTGTTTAATAAGTGAGCTTTCTTTTTATTTCGTTATTCAAAACTTGTAAAGCCCTTATTCATAAATAACAAAAAGTTGCGAAGGAAAATAAATCAAAGTCAACATCAGTTACATAAAATGCCAACATCAGTTACACAACAGCCGAGCAGAAATTAGGGATTCTTTTGAATGATATAGAAACTGATAATTTTGAAATCAGTTAGGGACGTATATGGTTTAGTTTGAATTGAAGCCTCAATTTATGTTGTGTTATTGAAATCAGATTTCACTGCTTTTTAATCAAAATAATTTGTTACTTTATAAACGGTGCAATGAAGATGAAATTTTCAGAGCTTAAATTTCGAGTGAGAATAGAGAATTTAAGGAATAGTATTTTTCGAAGATCACTATGATTGGTTAATATTATTAGACCTATATTGTCTTAGCTACCAAAAAAGAAAAAAAAAAGAATGAAATTAAGCAGTTGGATGTTTCGTACTAGTTGTGGGCTAATATGCAGTGTGAAATTTGTGCGTTTTAGAAGCACACACAGATTTGCTTCATCGATGACTTTATTTCTTTTCCTTGGGAAGGAGGAAATATATTATATGCTTAAGCATTATAATCTTACTTGTGTGTAAAAAAGATAGATGTTATTGCTCCTATATAATTCCTAAAATTTCAAGACTCCCAACTTTTTTTTTTAGTTTCTAAACTTATTATTTTTGCCGGTTATTTTCAACAGATAGTCAAATTTCTGAATTTTACTTAGTCTTACTATTAAATGATGTTAATTTGGAATTGTTTGTTAAATAGTATGAATTAATCACACCTGCTTCGATGATTTTTGTATTTAATGGTATTGCTTTTTCTGTTCATTTTGAAATAACTATGCTATGTAATTGTTATAGTATCTTTGTTGGTCATCTAAAGTACCACGAAAAAAAGTGATATTTCGCCAGATAGCTTTTAATTTGAAGCATAGATAAAAAGTGCTTATAGAGTTTTTCAAGGCAGATATTAACAAGATTTAAGTGTTAAAATCAAACGTTCGTATTGCATAATATCAGTTAAACACTGCAAATGATAAGAGAGCATATCGAATAAGCATTGAAAAATATCAGTTGAATTTAAATGTTGAAATTCTCCAATACTTCGTTTTTTCTATTAACATTCAATCAGAAAAGTATTGCTAGAAACATTTAAACAGATCAGTCAAACTGTCTGTGAGCAAGAATTTTGCATTTTTTCCGTCGAAGAACTTGCATGGAATAGGAATTTGCGATTGCATCGATGATCTTTAATTCCGGAATGTAAATAATTTCGGTTATTTGTTTATTTGATTTGAAGATGAGCGGATGCATAAAATCTTTGCATGAGATTCTAAATGATGTCCCGAATAATGGTTGGAAAACGATATCTCAGCATGTACTCTCAAACATTACCTATATTTTTCGTTGGATTATACCAATTGTTCGACCTGCTGGTTTATTTTAGCTAATTAATCATTTTAGTTAATTAATTTGTTTAATTATTTCAAATTATTTAATCTGTTTGTCACTGCAGAATAAATTACTTAGTTTCATTTGCCATTTCTACATTCTGGTAAGATTTATCATTACCAATGCAACATTTACAGGTTGCTTTTCTGAGCTATAACTGCAGAGTTTAAAAAAAATTTCCTTCGGTAAAAATATGTTACACTGTTTTTTGACAAAAATATGGTTATTTGAAGATCTGATGAAGAATACTTTTTCAGGTGCCTCATTTTTTCAACAAGCACATTTTTACACGACATATGAAGCATTTGCTTATGAATGGTTGGTTGTGTTTAGCATTACTTTATCATTCATTTGAATTCGTTTCAAATAAATTTTAAAATATTACAAATATCAATAAAATAATATTACAGTTGATGCAAATACTTGATCACACAGAAAAATATTCTGCTTCAATTTTTAATTCACACTGTACATTCAGTCGTATTGGAAATATTAATTAATGAAATTAACGTTAATGTAGAAATTAAATTCATCGTACATTCTTCATTTTCAGGACAATTAACTTCATAGGGTCACCACACTGGCCTGAAAGGAAAACAGTCTGGCGCTTATTTCTTGATCACTGCAAAGTATTTACTCAACCGACTCCATTCGCAATAGTATTTAAGTTACAATTGATGAGAGGTGAAGAATGCTGTAAGTTAATTTCATTATTTCGAAAAAAAATCAAAAGAAACTTTAAAATGACGGAAAATTCCAACAAGTAAAAAGATGAATTTTGAATTAACTTACGATTTACGATTTAAATTTAACATTGAAATTAAGAGAGGTTACAGCACCACAAATTACATCACTACCGGATGCACATCATTCAACATTTTCTTCCAACAGAAATTATCGTCTTTTTGAGGGAAATCCATTACTCGCTTCACTGACAGAAGGTTATTTGAAGTTGAGAATCAATTTACACTTTTTTTAAAACTACAAAATTTAAATTCTTTTGGAAAAAATATATTTCCAACCAGTATTCGGTAGATATAGTTCCAGCCTTCGGTATTCATTCACGATGGCAAGGTGGCCGGGCAATGCTTACGGTTGAAATGAATTTTGCGGCTAGCGATTTTCAAATACAAATGAATAAAGCTTTACCAATACAATCGTTCCTCAGAGACGGCGATTTTCGCAAAAAGCTTAAAGATATTCATCAAAACATTGAGCCGTAAGTTTAATAACAAATGGATTTAGAACTTTTTTTTCAATAAATGAATGGTCGTATGAATAAAAAGCAGTAAAGTAAGAAATTAAATCGATAAACTGCAATATGAATGAAATTAAAATTTGTTCACCGATAAATTGAAAATATTGCGTAAACTTATTTCATATATAAGCGAAAACTTCCAGGAATTATTGTAAATTATTTTGCAGTTATGGGTAATAACTTTTAATTTGCTTTTCTTCTGCAATCAGTGGACAAAGATAAATTAATTATAATTATTTCGTAATTGAAATAATAGACCTTCCTTAATTTGAAAAAGAAAAGAAAATGATTAGCACATTGTACCGTAAGTTAGGAGTAAGAGAAAAGCATAATAATTTCAAATAAAATTGTTTTAAGTAAACTGATAATAGATAAGTTTATCAGTGATATCACGTAAAGTCATGGAAATATTCAAATTTTAATAATAAATGATGCTTTGGAAATGAAATGTAGAATTATGGAAGAACCCGAAATTCAGAATTCTGTTACTAAAATGTTTGCTTTAGTATTTTAAAAACATGAACAACATCAAATTAAGCTTCAGTAATCTAAAATTGAATATTCATTTGATTGATGTAACAACTGTTTTCGAAAACTTCAACTTTTCTCAACTTCATTTTAGAAATAATAACTAATCATTTTAATTTTCAAATAAAAATAAGGGGCACTTTTCGTAATTTCTAATGATTTCATATTAGTGATTTCACATTCAAAACGTTGGATGGCGATATTCTGTCATATAAAAGTTTGTTGTACATATCTTCGCCATATTTTCGTGATTTATTAAGCTCTGATAATATTACATTGAATCAAATCTCTCTGAATTATAATCGTAAAGCCGTTTTACAGGTTTCTCATTTTACGGCCATTAAATATAGCAAAAAAATAATTTGATTAAAGAAATTTCAAAACAGAAAAAAATTTCATGCTTTTACTCCCAATTAAAAAAAAATACGGGATAAATTGCTAATTAATTAGAACAAAGTAAATAATTAGTGCAATTAAGTGGTTTATTATAATTGTTTATGATATTTTGTATATGCAAATGCTAAAATTACCGTAATCATATCATTTTGTTTAAGCCACTGAGTTAGCCTTTTAATTTCATTGTTAAATAATTCATTGATATTTTTCAAGACTTTATCTTACATGATCTTTGGTGCATTTGAATCATCCGAAATAGTGGATCCACAGTTAATACAACAAATGCTAAAATGTGCCAGACAATTTCAACTGAAAATAACACAATTTGACGATGATATTGGACGTGTACTAGTATTTCAACTTTCCAATGTAAATTATAATAAGGCATCAAGAATCTTTGCTAATTTCTTTGGGCTTATTTGTGTTGTAAATGAAATGATTATTTCATACATAAGCAGCTCAATACTTGTAATGTGCAGAATTTGGATAATTTGGATGAAATAATCAAAATATTATCATTAACACATCGGCAACAATCATATTTTCAAGTGAAACGAATGTGCATTGCAATGATTGTTGAGAAGCATTATCGAAGATTTGTGTTTGTTTTATTTAATTATCGCTAATACCTTAAATTTTCTTCAAATCAAAATTGACTTGAAATACAGTGAAATTGTTTATTTGAACTTACATCTCCATTTTTTGATGTCAGTTTTAAGCAGAATTCAATATCGTCTATATTATTTGCAACTTTTTCCGGATGTCATATAAATATATTACGGAGCAAAATTTCAGCCAAGAATACAATAGCAATGCAACTGGTGAGAAACTGAGTGCATTTGACCTTTTATCAACAGCAGTAGTACCCAGTTTATCACCAATTAATCTCATACATACCATACGCCATGGTGGTACGGCATGCCAACGAATATTGCACTATAAGAAATTTGACTGTTAATAATATTTTATTCGAAACTTTATTAGCACTTTAACATTTATGTTTTATAATTTAAATTATGAGATGGTGCTGCTTACTAAATGTGAGATCAACACGGATGGATGGATATTTCGTTTAATCAAAGGTCATTTTTTGGGTAAATAATTCAAAGTAGTAATAAGTCATATTTTCTAATTTTATCGGCATTTCGAGATCAAATTTTCATGAAACTTAGTGTTAATTTATCAAGGTGAGCCTAGCCAAAAGATCAAAGTCATTCCTGATGAATGCATTTTGATACAAAAATCTTATTTAGAGTTGATATTAACTCAAAATGGCGAAATATTGCCAGTTTATCGCTTCCTCTTTTGCATATCATTTCAGTACACACTTATAATTGTTAAAAAAATATCATTTTTGAGATAAAAAATCAATCTGATAAGCATGATATCACTAATGGTCATTTTTGTATTAATTTGTTAATAAATTATCATTTTTGAAAAGGAGGACAAATGTATTTGTACTAAAATGATTAAATCCCAAAGTATTATTCCATTCTATAAATTTTTTTACAAAAGAAAAAAGCCAAAAAAAGTAGGAAAGAAGGTGAAAAAAGGTGAATGAGCGTTTTTCTTTCAACACTTTTCGCTCTTTCCCTTTATTCTGATCTTCCTCGCAAATTAATAATAATTGATTAATGTATGATCTTCCCCTCCTTGCATTATTAACAATCTGCTTATTATGGGCAATGTCCACTTGTTGATATGAAATTTCCCGAGATTTATCGTTTTTTTTTTTCAAATCATATCAGTGGCGTATTTGCTTAACCCTCTCGGGAAAGAAGCTGCCTGATCCAATAGCATTTTGGTAATGGTAGCATAATTTTACAGTACATTATGTTTTTTGGTTTAAAACTTTTTCCGTAATTAAGGAAATTTTGGTTATCCACAAGAAATATTACATAAAAAATATTTGGAGAATTTTCACTAATTTTTTTCTCTTTTTTCCGAAAATATGCACAAAGTCTTTTTTCAACTTTTTAAAGTTTTTTTTTTTTTTATCTGACTTCCATTAAGATAATAGTTCGTACTAAATACTTAATGATAAAACTAATCATTTAGCCAGTTAAATTAAGTAAAATAATTAATTTTTCTTATATTTATGTTCGTTTTCTTTTACAGGAAATTTTTAAGAGTGAATTTTATTTTTAAAGCAAATTACTTAGTAAGCTGTAATATGTTCTTTTCATTTCAGAACTAACAATAGTAATTCATCAATTTTATCGCTAAAATTCTGAAAAATTGAGAATGTTAGTAAAATTGAATTGTAAAATAATATTTCAGCTTTGGAACGGTTTATTTGTAACTAATGCCACCGCCCAATATACCGACAAAATGTTAGCACTGGGTCACACAGTTTACTTTTATTCATTTGATTATTTCAATCCGAAAAGCTACAGTATGCCTCCACTTACAGTACTATTTTCCTAAATTTTGTAACTTTGACAAGTGCGCAGAATGAGTGCAACGCTAATTCATTTATTTAAAGAAAGGGATTTCATTAGCGCTGAAAATAACACCTGTTAATGATGGTAGGCGCAGTTGACAATCAAATAAATAAACCGCATTATAATATATTTATAATAAAAATTAATATTTAAATATGCAGCAAATTTTTCAATCATTGCAATGAAACTATAAATTAAAAATGCGTTAAAAGTGTATCACATTAATAATAAAAGATAATTTATGTTAAAATATAGGAAGTGTAATAAATAATTGTTTATTTCAAATATGTACCATTTTAATAAAGTGTTTTTAATAGTTTGAACTTCACAAAATTGTTCACGAAAAAAGGTTAATTAAAAATACACATACAAAGTCAGGTAAATAAAATAATACAAAGCTTAGCTATTATTTCGGTCTTAAAAGATGCGTTTTCTATTATTTCAGTCATCTGATTTTTGAATCCGAAAAGTTATAGCATACTTTCATTCATAGTACCATTTAAAGATAAGATAAATCAGACTTATTTCTTCTTTGTTAAATTTTGTTAACTTTGTTAAGTGTGCGAGACATAAAAAAAGTTACCGTGCAGCAATGATTCATTTATTAGTTGACAATTAAATAATTAAACAAACTGCATTATATTTATAATAAAGGCTGTTGTCGTGGAAGATTTGATAGTTTAATTATTAATTTTGGGAGAAGTTTTGATCGCAGGCAGATTTGTTGTATGTAGGTGTGAATACGTGCGGTAACAAAGAAATACAACAATTCCTTTATGAGCAGAATAGGACAATACGTTGATAGAGAACAATTGAAAGTGAACTCGTCTGGTTCTTGATAACAAATTACATACACACTCCAATCTTTTAACAAGGGTGACCCTTATATAGCAATTATCTCTTACATATTAACATGTGGGAGTGGTTTATAATTAGAAATTTTTGTATTTGGATAAATTGTCTAGACATGATAATGAGTTACTTTAAAGTAAGTTACAATGGATATCACAAAGGAAAGTACAATGCGAGACATTGTGTCTAGACATTATGATGGGTGGCTACTATAATGAGTTGCAATAAACATTACATGATAGATGCTTACAGTATGTAAATTGATAAAAAAAATCAAAAGTCAGTTAAACCATTACGATGAATTGTAAAAAAAATCAATGTATTGCTATGCTAAACATTATTAACACTTATTTAGTGCTTCGCGATATTAAAATCCGCGACAGTTGTCTCAAATCTTGAAAACAATTATCAGATAATGTAAATAGTACAGAAACACTATCAGTTTACTTTGGATTTTTTAACTTTTAAAATCAATCTTATTATATTTATTAGAGTAAAAAGTAAGTAGATTTCTCATTTTAGGAAAGTAATTTTTCAGTTTTCTCTCACAGTTTCATTCAATTTAAATGTTATTTCAAGTAAATTATTTAATGCATTTAACCATTTAGGTGCAACACATCGTACAGGATTAAATTATATCTTTGGCGCAAATATAACATGTTTCCAATACCATTTACGTATACGAAAATCGATGAATATGTAAGAAATTTGATATCAGAATTATGGACAAACTTCCTCAAATTCGAGTTTGCTTCATTTGATTGCAATACAGAAATTTCATGATAACTCTCACTTTTTTTTCAAAAATTTACTTAGTTCTGTGGATGCTATTTTAAGCATAACACCATTAGTGATAATTTAAGAGAATTATCAGTTGTTGATCTAATCTCACACATTATAAAATTTTAATTACTTCTGCAGCTGTATAAGTGATAACTGAAGTAAGCTGTCATTTTGTAGTACAATTATGTTAATGTTATTTCAAGTAAATTATTTAATGCATTTAATCAGAAGAAATCCAATTTATTTCATCTTTTTCCAAATCAAGAAGAAAATAAAAAACTATCTTAATGTTAAGAAATCCTAAAATGTTGCAAATATGTTAACATTGAAAGGTTTCAAATGGTTGCCAGTGGTGCAAAAACCTGTTTGTTACCCCAGTATTGGTACCGATGCTTTCCAGATGAAAGAAGGATTATTACTATCATCAAATAAAGTTTTAGCAGAATTTTGGAAATGAGAATGCAATCAAATTGAAAGTGAAGCACACAGAACACAAGTAATGAGAGTATTTGTGTGACTAGCTAAAAATATTTCAATTAATTTAAACATGCAATAAATTTCCTAATCAATTCAGTTGAGTCATAAGTAAATTTAAAATGTATTACATTAATAAAGAAAGATAATTTATGTTAAAACATAGAAAGTATAACTACACAATTAAAAATAATTGTTTGTTTCAAACATATCATTTTTATAAGGTTTATTTTAGTAGTTTAAATTTTGCAAAATTGCACAGCGATATATCAATTATTAAGAAGATAGACTGATGTTGCACGATAAGCAGGACCACCACCATGAATAATGCCACCGCCACCGTCACTCGTGCCACCACCACCTGGACTATCAGGACGACCACCTCGGTCTGAAATATTGCTGCAATCCTGGGAAAAAAGAAATTGTGCATAATTTAAATAATATGATATGATAGATAAAATGAGTAGTATATATATTAAAAAAAATATTTTAAAAGTTTTTTTTTCCCATAATTGTCTTTTATTATATTATTTATTTACAGAATTTTCATTTTATGCTGTCTTAAAAAATCCAACAATTATGCATTTTTTATTTAAATCACTTATCGAATTGTTTCGAATATTCAGAAAAGAATAAGTTAATGATATCAATGTTGAAAATAGCATAAGCAATTTAATTAAATTTAATTAGAAAGAAATAAGAAACCCTGCTACGACACCTGGACTAATACCAGATGAAACTTTTTAAACATTTGAATAACTTGTGAGAATTTTCTATAGAATTATATTTCAGCATGTTTCCCTACAAATAAATCATTGAAAATTTTGAATAAATTTTGAAAATATTTTGCATAATTTAAAATTTTCAATTATCATTTGAAATAAATATGTACCAAGTTGATCAGCAGTATTTCCAAATGCAAAGCTCGTATCTTTAGCTTTACTGGAACCACGACTGGGAGCACTCATATATGCACTGGTTAAAGCACCAGGACTACCACCTGCGAAATACAGTGAAAATTCCTTTAATCCACCACCAGCAACCGCAGTACCTTCATCACTTTCTTTCGCTCCTATCGTATGTCCACCTCCAGCTAACATTGATGACAAGTACTGCTCAACTTCAGCACCAGCACCGGTTTGACTTATTGCACCAACACTAATTATACTTTTGGCATCACGGACAGCGCTAGCATCGCTCAGTACAGAACTTTTAGTATCATGAGTACCACCACCACCAGCACTTACAGAAACAGGACTTTTAATGGCACTAGGAATACCAGCAGCAGAACTTGTAATTCTGCTAACACCGGTAGCGGTTGAAATCTTAGCGTCACTAGTACCGCTAGCAACAGGATTTGGTACACGGCTCATATTGGTAGCAGTAGAAATTTTAGTACCGCCAGCACCGCTAACAACGGGACGACTAACACAGGTAGCAGTTTTTGCACCATCAGAGCTAATAGTACCACCAATACTGGTACCACTACGACTCTTCCCAATAGCAGCAGAAGCAGCGATATGTGCGGCTGATATTGCTTCAGCACCACTTGTTGTTGACGTACCTGATGCAATCGCATTTGCTGCAAAAAAAAAAAAATCATTTTATTATTGATTAATTGCTTGTTCTTAGAAAAAATTTCATTTTTTTTTAAATCTTTTTTAAAAAGCCACATCAATTATCTTTACCTAATTTCATCACAGTTGAAAGAAGTGATTCACGAAGAAAAGTAATTTCTTTCATCATTTGTTTAATAATTTCTTCCAAACGTTTATTTTCATTGGTTACCAATTCCAGAACCGCTTTTAATTCATCATTAGTCTTCTGCACTTCACCAACTTTTAAACCCTTCCACAAATTTGGTATGACCACTTGAATAGGAGCTAAATATAAAATCAAATGCGAAATAACTGCTATTAGTAATATGAATAGAAAGTAAAATTTTATTATAAAATTTTCATTGTTTTTTTTTATTTTTTTCGTCAATCTCTTGAATAAAAAAGTGTGATTTCAAGTTTCATATATGAAATTGAATTATGATAGCATCTGATCAATTCGTGGTAAATATAATTCTAGTTTAAGACTTACTTATCATCATCTGATTTTATACTTCAGTTTAAAGTAATCCATGTGTATAATTTTAAAATTCATAATAAATGCATACTTATCATTTAGTGCGAAATTAATTTATGAATGGTATAAAGTAACTCAATTTTTCCTAAGCCATCTAAAAAATAAAATCAATTTTTGTGTTTTTAAAACACAAAAAAGCAAACGTAGCTTCAAAGAAAATTATATTTTTTTTACTATGAAATGGAAATAAAACTTTTTTACCTCCACTTTCTTTGCTTTTCTTATCTGAAAATTATTTTTTCAAATAAGCAAAAAATAAAATAGAGAAAAAAATTTAAAAAAAAAAAAGGATTGCTCATTTCATCATGATTTTTATTTTATAAATCAATAGCATAAACAAGCTCTCTTTAATTAATATATTAACTAAGAAATATTTGAATAATTTTAAGTAGTTCCAAAATATTATTTCGATTAGTGAATATTCTTGGAAAAAATGACCGTAAACAACAAGATGGAAATAATTAATCCAAAACATAATTAATTCAGTGATAATCTTAACTTCATTCATTTCTTACTTGTTTCTTAGAAATTATTTAAATGAAAAAAAAAAAAACTGTGTGTTTTTTGAGAAACTTTATGCTGATTTATTTAAATTAGGAAATAATGCAATGGTAATTCAATAACTGCTGCAAAAATTCAATATTATACGAAATAAAAAACTGCTATTTCAAATAAATCAAATAAATTTTAAGATTAATTCATTTTAAAATAATCAGTGATAAAAGGTGTTAAGTTAATTAACATAAGAAAAAAATCTTGCCATCTTCATCAGTTGTAGTAAGACTTTCATCTTTTTCTTCTTTCTTTTCAACTTTTCCCTTCCCTTCTTTAGCTTTCAATATTTCGTGTTCAGTTGACAATATGCTCTCTTTATTCTTATACAAATCATTAATTTCTGTTTCCAATTTAAGATCATCGTAACCTGGCTAGAAATTTTATTCTATTAATTAATTAATTAACATTATATAATCATTTACAATAATAAAAGTCGAGCAAATACATAACTTTTATAAACATTTTAATGAAATCATTTTAATTAGATCAAAGTAAGTTGTAAGTCTTCCGTCAATTTAATTAGCTGTAATAATTACCTACTTCGAATGCATTAATTTAAAAAATTTTAATTGCTAATTGTGTTAATACGTGGAAAATTTCCAATTTTCTCCCTATGATTACATTATTAATGATTTATTAATTGGAAAATAATTTACTTGCTAAAATTTAACTGCATTTATTTTACTTAAAATTAACTTTAATTTGCTTAAATAAAGAAAAACTTCTGAATGGGTTGAAATATTTCTTCTATTCACTAGCTTATTTATTCACTGTGAAAATTAAATCCAAAAAATTATTTAAAGATTTAATTTATTCAAAACCTTTACTTACTGTTGGAACAAACTTTTGTCCTGCCTTTGTTACCAATTTACCCATAACCTTTGGTACTTTATCTGGTATTCTCCTATCGCTATATGCTACAGAAAAGAAAAACTTTTTTTCTGTGCAATCTAAATGCTTTGAAACATTTCTTCTCTTCAATGAATTTAATTATCCATTTCTTGCAAAAATCAAATTAAAAAATTTTTCAAAATCTAAATTTGTATAAATGTCAACTTAAATTATAATTTTACTCCAAAATATTTCAAAAGTCGATTAAATTTCCATTGCCTCTTTAAATCAAAAAAAAAAAATTTAAGCTATATTTTATTCCTAATTTTAAACCAAAAAGTTTTAAACTATTATTAAATTATAGGCAAAAATTGGAAAATTTACGTTCATTTGAGAGCAATTATTTATACCTCTTACACGTATGTCCAATACACCTACGTCAGCTCCTTCAACAAATGGTTTCCTTGGATCATAACCTTCTGGTGATGCTATATACTCTACCACTAATTTCGTTTTTCCTGGTTTTCCAGGCTGAAACAAATTGATGACAACAAGATATTTGCGGAATGACATATCAATGATGAAGTGTTTGTACAAACAATGAAAAAAAAAAAAAAAAAAAAATAAAACGAAGTGTAATGAAATCATGGAAGCAATTTATATTAAAAAAAAAAAATTTTTGCTACATTATTAATTTACAATTGTTTAAATCCGTTTTTTTTTTTTATTATTAATAAAATATGTATTAATAACAGAATATTAATAAAACAATAAATCTATTAATCAATCGTACAATAATTTCATCATTCAACTATACAATTCACCAATCAATTATCAATCGACCAATTAATATATTTTATTTAACTATGTCAAATTACAATTGATGAAAAAAAAAAGTGAGATCTCGTTAATTAAATTAACTAATTTTTAATAAATTTGAAAAAAGAAAAATGAAAAATATTAAACAACTAACCAATCGTCGCAAAAAAAGTTCCTTTTTCATGCCTGGTTTTACGAAACCAAGCGGTGGCGATACCTAAATTATTTTTCTTACATTAATTACATTATCAAATTTCTCTCCCATTAATAGAATAAAAAAACTATATACATTCAAATTATGATACAAATTACTTCCTCAATTGTATCAATCATTATCAGCTGCTTTCATTATTTTCTACCCACTTCAAAAGAAAAATCATTTTTTTCTAAAAATTTTTCCGCAAAAAACAAATAATTTAATGAAGTGGAAATATGCTAAAATTCAATAATATGTATGCAATTTATACTATTAGAATTATAAGAAATAATTGTAATGTAAAAGTATAATTAATTATAAATGTTAGCTAATATAAAGCATGTTGTAATAAATGCTCCAAAACGTCTCATATTAATCTTATAGTATGACAATGATATTATTTATATAATTTCACCGTTCAATAAATTAATCAAAAAAAAATCATTAATCATTAATTAATAAATCATTTATCAACGTTAAATTCATCAAAACACTTTACCCTATATAAATTGTAATACTTTTGCTTTAGTTTCACTTTAAATGCTAATCGTTCGGTACCAATCGCTTCAAGGATATGTGTTGTTGTACCACCTGTGCATGGCACCTATAGTGATGATTCTTTCAAAACACTATTGTATTATGAAATTATTTCATATGAATTTTGGATTTTAATTTTTAAAAGATACTTGAGGATTAATATGCAATTCTTTGTTGTTTATTAGCTCATATATTTGGTTTCCACTTTTTTGAAACTTTTTGCTCACCTTTCATTAAGATTTAAACAAAATATTAGTTGTAGTTTGGAATTTGAACAAAACAACTAAAGGATAAAGTAGATGCAAATATAATTTTAGAAACACACTTCCAGAAATTTTAACCGCCGAGTAATTGAGTACAAAATTAATTCAATAAATATATCTGCAAACCTGTATCATTGCTGGTGTACATTGCAAGTATGACATAATCTGTACAACGTATCAGTTACAACCGTTTAATTATTTGAAAATAAAGAATGATTAAAACTATCAAGAAACTTGATAGTTTTAAACTGTTAAATTGAAATGCTTAACAGAATGCGAATTTTATAAAATATGCAACATTTACAAATTCATGTCATCCTTATCTTCTGACTAAAGTATTAACAGCAGATATCCAATACTATAAACGATTAAATTTTTATAAATTACACGTTTAATCGAATTCAATCATTCAGATTCATTTATTATTCGAATCAAATTGCTTCATTAGAAAAAAAAAAAAGAAAGAAAAACGAAATAATTGTCTAGATTTAAAATACTGTGTATATAATTGGTCAATATTAATAAAAAGTGCTTCATTCTTTTCTTTTTTTTTTTTTAAATAAAATTTCGATACTTTTAAAATTTTGTGGAATTAAAGATATGAATGTCCTATTTCACAGATGAAGGAAATAGTAAAGTGCAATAACAAGTTAATCAATGTTTCATAAACACACGCTGCCGAAAAGTCATATTTTCGTAGCAGTCCTTTTCAACATACGTCTTCTCATCGTTCTTTACCATTCTTAATTTCTCGTATACAAGCAATCTTCTACAAAATTCACTGATAGATTATTTTGCTGCCTGGATATTTAGGTATTAAAAAACACTTTGAAATCAAAACCAGAAAAGATAAAAAATCCTGCCATAACATAAAATATTGCTTGTCAACCAATTTACTAAAAATAGAGATACGTTATAGTCAAACTTCCATATACTGATAGTCAAAAGCATTGAAAATCACTATATTAAAGTTTGAATAATGATAAAAATAATTTTTCCACAATGATAAAAGAAATCTTTAGCTTTCTTAAATCTGAAACATATGGAATTATAATTAAAAACAAGTTTTAAATAAATCACCTGGAATACCTGCGTGACAATGACTGCTCACAGTTATAAATCAATTTCATCGCATCATGTTTTGGTAAAATTGCTTCGGAATATCTAAAAATTAGCAAAATTTTAAAGATTTTTGTTCACTCAATACGTGAAACAATGCTTCCCAATCTCAGTATTATCGAACAATGACACTACTCAACACAGGATCAATGTTACACAGAAAGCTCCTAGAAATTTTTAGGTTATTATCATTGATGACTAAACTGCTAAACTACTAAACTGTTTTCTGATAAAACATTACCTTTTTTTTTAATTTCCAACTGCTCAATTTTTCATGATACATTTAGAATTGCTTTAAGTTTCTGACACAGATTGTCATCCTTTTATACATAAGTCAGAGCAAGATTTCTTAACCAAGTTTGGTACAAGATATAATTATAAATTAAGTGTGAAAAAAACAAAAGTTGAGTTCATTAAAATTTTCTATCTTATATGTTGCAGAAAACCTTAATTAATCTGACACGATAACATCCGTTTAAGCTGTCTAATTAACTGATATTTTAAAAATGTAATGGATAAGAATGGAATATTCCAATAAGTAAGTGCAACACTATCAATCACATTACGTGAATATTTCAGCTGTAGCAACATTATGTGAAAAAAAAAGGCCTAAGGATTCGCAATGATCAAAAGTACAAACTTTGAATAAAGCTGAATATACATGCCAGGAACCAATAATGATCTTGATGACAGCTATTGTTTGATAAATGACAGTAAATGCAAAGCTTCATATTTCATTCCTACATTTTTATATAGTACAATTTCTGCTTTAGAACAATTAAACGATTGCTTCTCTCTCAACTATTTATAATAATAGAGAATGCATGAATTAAGCAGAGAAATTATCAATGAAAAAAAAAAAAAAATGAAAATATTCTAAATCAAACATTTAAAATAAATCTCATATAATTTAAATATTACTTTTATAGATTATTACTGTGATTTGTATGAGTGATTAAATCGATATATTCTCTATTCAAAAACTTTCACTGCATTATGTTGCTCATTCCTTTTTTTATTTATCTAGATAATTCTATTTGTTTAAAGTTCATAGCAGATGGAGCATTATACAAATTTTGTTTAATCTTCAATGAATACCCAGCAAAAAAAAAAAGAACGGCTACGAATAGATGAAAAAAAGAGGATGGAACAATTATTTTAAGCTATTTCTATCACTCTCTCAACATCACGCATCATCCAAAATGATCCAAACAAAAGAAGATGGAAAAGATAATTGGCAGTAGTGTATTTGATTTTTCATCACTGACGTAAACATTTTCCATGTATTATTTCAATCTGTAAGTTCTGTAATTTCTAGTTTCTTCCATTAATTAACTATTCTAATTATACAGTTTAATCTTGATAGCTTTTTCTGCCAAATTTCATGATGTTCTTTGAAATCAATATAAAACCCTACGGGACGGACACATGTTAACGGTTAATTCAACTTATTCGTTAGATATTAAAAATCAACTTCTGTTATTTCCATTATTATGTAAATACAAGGTATATAAATACCATATTATTCAAAATTTTTTGAAAAATGATCACTAAAATCTTCCAGTAATAATTTCTTGTCATTCTTTTAGAGTTGGTTACTTTCCAGAAATCATATTTATTACATGCATTCCTGTATCAATTCATGCATCTATCGGTAAATTTTATATTATATTCTAACTATACAATAATCATAATCATAACGTAATTAAGATAACTTTATAATAAATATAACCGAAAATGTATGATCTTAAGTAAACAGTAGTGAGAAAACAAACAAAACAGAAAGATTGATTCTCCTTTTTTTGTGCCTGCTTATTTTCCTAGAGTTAAAAAAGAAAATGAAAATCATTACATAAAAGAGAGCAAAACATTTACAGATGCGTGCTACGACACCTTAAGAATACGAAGTGCGCCCGAAACTTGTATCCATTCCACAGACTGTTATGATTCCAATGCTGAATGCATATATAGTGTAGCAGAATCTCGTCACATTTGTTGTAAGCCGAGACCTAATATCATCCTTCCCGGTAAATTATTAGTGAAATAAATCAATTCCATTTCTCTTCAATGTTTAGATTATTAAGTTTCAACCATATCCAAATGACCATATGCTGAATCACTATATCGTTTAAACGTTACAAACTAAAATATACGAAAGAAAAAAAAAAGTTATAAAAGTTTATTTGTATTTGAAGAATGCCCCGCAGGACGACAAATGCCAACAGTGGGAAAATATATGCCTATATTATGTTCGTTGACAAATTCAGTGGAAGATGATATGTGTCCACAGGGTTACGAATGCTTACCTTCAGTTAATACAAATAACGGTGAACTACATATTTGCTGTGCAATTTGAATTGTATTATTATTACACTCAAATTAAAATTGTTGTAAAAGGTCACTTTAATATTACTGTCACTATTTCCCAATAATACTACTTCACTATTTTCCTGCCAATAAATTGATTGATAACTTATCAGATGCTTCAGATCGAAGTTTTAGGATTCAAAATCAAACTTAAAAGTGAAACAAATTTTGGTAGACGAATAGGAGAAAAGTAGATAGAAAAGAGATTCAAGTATGTAAAAAAGAATGAGAAGAGATGGAAAAGCGATCAAAATCAATATCACGTCCAGTTTATATGACTAAAGAAGAATTAAATTTCGTAAACCATAAACTGAATAAATAGCTCTTCACCACATAAATTCAAAGTTTGATCCAGTAATTAATGAGGCAGTGTATGTTTTTATTTATCTCAGCATTATTATGAATGTTCATTATATATGTAAAAATTTTACAATCCTGTCAATCTATATTTCTCCTTTGCTACCTAACAATAGCAAAAGTATTTATATGACTTTCATTTTTGCATTTTTTGAATGAGTCTCTTTATCGAGTATTATTACTGTTACTTAGAGAGAAAAAAATAGGGTTTAGCAACTCCTAAAGATTATATTACTTCTACCAAAAAGAAAAAAGAATATTAATAAATTGACTTAAAAATTTGGATATGATCCCGTTGATCCATCTGTAGTAGGATAGACAGCAACTAAAGATTTGAAAAAAAAAATTAATATTCATAAAGATTATAATTGACTTTATATATGATTTTAACAGAAAATTTCTTAATAAATTTCTTTAATAATAATAAAACAACTAACTCATCATCGAATACTGGAAACCAAAATAACAAACGCCCACCAACAACAAGTAATCTACTAGCAAGATCGATGAGATCAAGGAATGCCGAAGAAATGGAATATTTCGCCTTTTCAGGATAATGATTTGCACTGAAAAAATAATAAACAATAAAAGCCAATTTGCATAGCAAAGTTATTTTGGAAAAAATTACATTACTTCTCCTATTTTTTTCTCTTTCTAAGTTTACCTCTCCAAACAAAAAATTAAATAAAAAATGGGATCAGCAAAACAAATAATAAAACTTACTGCTGAGCATCTTTGACTATCCACGATTCCTTCTTTCCTTTGATGCTCACTTTTTGTCCTTTTTCTCTAATTCCGTAGGGTGCTAGAAAAAAAAAAAAGTTATAGAATCTCTAGCTAATAAAACCTCAAACACGTATCCTTGTGATCACTAATAATCAGTGCATAGAATTAAAATAAATGAAACAGAATTGACTCTAGTTCAGCTGTTGCTCTATTCTTCATCTACAACAAATATTCAGAGAAAGCTGAATGAGGTATTTACACCTTACACAGAAAGAGAGAAAGAGAAAAAAAAAGAAATCAAAATCTCTTCAAACCCTTTTCTTTGAAGAGAATGCATACTTACGGTCAGTGATTACTGCATCAAAAACAGGAAAGGTGCCAGAATGTGTGCCTGGATGCCATAGCTGATGTTGGCTAGCATCCGCTATTATCAAACCCATGAAATAAAAATCTATTCCATATTGTCGAAAATTTGCAGCAACTGATTCTTTTGCTGTATTGCACTCGACACCAGCACGTGACGATTTACCTGGAAAATAACGATGATTTTTAAATAATGAAAGTAGTACTAGCTTCCTCATATTATCCCTTAATTATGCAAATTGAAAGTTGATAATTGAATAATCCAATTAGAAATTAATGAAATCAAAAAAGAAATATTTCACAAAGTATAATTTTGTGGAAAGCAGCAAAATAATGTCTTGTTTTGTTGAGATTAGTAAAATATGTCTTATTTTAGTTCATAATATTTAGAGTAGAGAAAGATTTTCAAAGTGAATCATTCGAATAATATATTACCGACAGCTCTGGCAATTTGATAATTTATTTCGCTTCCTAAAACAGCAGCACCAAAATGTGCAGCAGCAATCAACAGACCACCTGAAATTTGTAACGGAAATAATTACTTAATAAACAGTTAATAAATCATTTAAAGTTTATGGGTTTCGTTTTTTTTTCTAAAACTGAAAATCCACAATCTGTACTGCTTTGATTAATAAGTTTCGCCCAATTAATGTTTCCAAATTATAGCTATATTCAAACATAATTATCAAATAATCAAAGGAAATAATGAAGCAAACCCGTTCCACAGAATGGATCAAGAACAAGTGAACCAATATCCACTTTTGCAATATTAGCTTGAAGGAATGATAATTCTGGATCTATCGTTGTATTACCAATGTAACACCGTTCAGTCAAGCAGTAGTGATTTTTTAATCGACCCTGACCACATCCTACCTATTGAATCTATATTATAAAAAGACAGAACAGTTACTTGCAATAAATCATTGCGTTATTTTATAATTTTTATTCAAAGCTCCCATTTTCAAAAGTTGCTCGATCATACTTTTAAGAAATATACCTTCCAAGGTTGGGAAATTTATTTTCTTAGTTTTAAACAAAATAAAGTAATCATAACAAAAATTTCCTGGCATGTTTTTCAAAAAGACAAAAATTTTAAGAAAAAAATACCAATTTTCCAAAATGAATCCTCTGAAGCGAATTTGAATTATACTCCTCGATAACATAAAATGTATTGCATGGATTACTTAGATCTACTGGAGATTTAGTCAAATCAAGTGCCTTACCAATGTTCTGAAAAAAAAAAAAAAATAAACATTTCAAATAATAGAAAACAAGAAATGAAGAAGCGAAAATCGTGGTTTATTGAGTTAAAGAGGAACCGCAATTATATTTTCAAGAGGGGTGCGGCTGCATTTTCTTCCAATGGATCGCATGCGTATAGCAAAAGATTGATCGGCTGAATCGTAGTTCTGAAATTTCATCAAATTTTATTTAAATAAAGAACGAAGGATGCAAAAGAAAATGTCTACTATACGTTTACAAAATTCCATCAGAAATTTTTCACAAGCAAAATAGATATGTTTACTTTTATATCAAGCCTTCTTTTTTCAATATTTGCACATAATTCTTCATAATCATTACAACTTGTTATCCATTCTACTACATACTTTATAAGAACTGAACGTGAAAGTATTTTGGTCACATCATCAAAGGATGGAAATTCGAACACATAAACATGTCGCTGAAACACAATTATTACCAAATAGAGAATAAAGATGATTGAAAAGCAAAAAATAACAAAATTAATTTTACTGTGGCAAATTTGCTATGGCAAATCCTCAAGACCGAAGTAACTAAGCAAGGAAAGATTAAACAGCATTCGGAATGAATAATCTAACATACCAAGAAAAAATGAGCAATAAAAAAAAAAAGAAAAAAATAATCATTAATTAGATAACTCTTACTTTGTTACAAAGTAATGAAATATTATTGTCACAGGGAATTCCATATAAGTTACAAATACTTTCCATTTCAGCAAGTCGAAAGTTAGTATGAACTTGTGAGAAGACAAATATAAATTTCATGAAATCTAAACATGAATCTGTTACAAATTTGATCATTTTTCCCAACAATAGGATTTGATTAAATTTCAGTTATCATTTTTAGTGTAACTTTTAGATGAGAGCTGCAAATGTAGTTCAATACAACACATATGTAACGTACACGTCATGTTATGCACCAGTTACAACGAAAGCCACGACTTACGCTTAGCAATCACACTAATATTATGTGGCCCTAACTTGGAACATCTTGAAAATAAACGTTTATTACGTGAATAAACATATCTTTGTTGATAAAATAAATTAATTTACTCTTAATAGAACTAAGTAAAATGTTTTTTAAAAAAATTTAAGATATAATTTTTATTAGTATGTATTAATATATTTAAATTTTCACAAGGAATTGATAATGCGCGTGAGGCATTGGAAATGATTAAATGTTTATCGATATTAAATGATATGAACAACACATTTAATTTCAAATACAATAAATAATATATATTATAATAAGAAAAAAAGCATAGAACAATAAATAATTTCGTTGTAATTATAGTGTTATTGCATACTAATGAAAATTATATCTTAACAATTATGCCTGAAGAATTTTGAAAATACTTTACTGATTCTGTTAACAGTAAATTAATTTGTATTAAATTAGTAAATTAATTTTAAGCTCAAGAAAAAAAACCAATTTTAGACTAAAAAAAATATTGTAATGAAGTAAATATTGCGACTAATACAATAATTTCTTCACTGATATTTCTAGTTCAAATTCTGATAATATTTATCAATTATTTCTCAAAATAACAACTACAATACTCTTTTCATTACTTATCATTAACAAAAGCATCAAACTTCTTATCTATATTCAATTTTTTTATCACATTTATTTACATTACATGCTGATAAATATATTTATTATATGATTAGGATAGCTTTTTAATATTTATTTACTTATTAAAATATGATAAGAGTTGGTATGATTTTAATCTGCTTGCGATTCATTAAAAAGAATAGTAAGTGCATCATTGCTTATCTTATCATTGCTATGATATTCTCTTCAATCTTCAAGAGAATCATCTCTGATTAACGTTTCTCAACAAATAGCACAAAACACAATGTTAATATCATTGCTGATAAATCGATTTTTCTTCTCCCATACATTGCTTCAAAAACTTTCAATTTGCTTCAGATTTTATATAAATTATATTGAGAAATTGAAAATATTAGTTGATTAAAATAAAGACCACAAATAATTTAATATTTTTATAATATAATCGTTATCATTCAATAATTTACCTAATTATTGGTATTATTTTTTTCAGCTAATTATTGTAGTTTAATTGATTATTGCTCAATTGACTCTTATAAATACTGTGAATATACCAATTAATTTAATTGATTTAATTAAATTACTATCATAAATTTTTCTACAACAAATTAATTTCTCAATTTTCTATCAACTAAATTAATCAAAATAACAGGAAATAATTATATTCTTTTTCTTGATTATTCATTTACAAGGCCTCTATTCTTCCGTATGTTTTTATTTCCTCGTAAAATCCATATTTGCTCAATTTTAATTTTATGCAAAAAAAAAAAAAAAAAAAAAAAACATTGTAATCCTCTGAAACATTAAACAAAAACAAAAGAAAAAAAAAAAAAAACAAATTATAACTCTTTAATGAATGCAAACAAAAAAACCTTTTTTTCTTCTAATTTATTGCTATTTCAATAAAAATTTATCAATATATCAATCCAATTATGAGCAAACGAATTATTCTGTGATATCTCAATGACTGATTCCACTTCTTTCTTTTTTTTTCCTTTTTTTAAAAACATTCATTCATAAACAAAGAAATTCTTCGGAACTATTCCACGTGACTATTCTTTTATTTTCATCGTTCCTTTCTTCTCCATCCTCAATTGATATGCCAAGTGATGAAAGCATTTGAATGGGACAATTAGCTAATGACCACATTTGTTATTTTTTTCTTCTTTTGTTTTTTTCCCCTGAAAGAATTAAAAAATTTTTTTTGACATTTTTTGAAATTTTAAACTATTATTAGAAATTTCAATGGTTATTGCTTATTTGCTTGCTTTTTGAATATAAGATAATTTTCGTAATCACAAATCAATTTATACTCAAAATTCAAAACAATGAATAATTTTTTATGCGTTACTTTTCTCAAAAAGTTGACAGCTGATAAGTATTGTATAAAATTTCTGAAGTGATTAAGGAAACGGAAGTTGCTCAGTTCATAACGTTTAAAAATCAACCCACTGTTTTCATGATTTTGATTATCTCGTTCAAAATCTTTTTAGTGATGTGTGATTTCTTTTTTGTCAATGATTGGATCATCTTCTAAGAAAAAACTTGAAATTTTGTTTTTTCAATAATAAACTGTTACCATTATTTCTATGCAGATCACATATTATTACTATTGTTATTAATATTATTATTATCACTATTATTATTATGATTATCGTTACTGTTATTTTTAATGAAATTTTTTGAATCCATGACAATTTAACCAGTTATTATATTTCACAAAACTATTGAATAATTATGAATATTGATTGATTACTTGCATAAATTACATCATTTTCAATGAAATTTTAACGATGACAAATCATTTCATTAGTTTAATGCTGCCCTTCACACATTCATTCATTCATCCATTTCCAGTCTCACTGATAAGCTTTATTATTACATCATTTATATATTATATTATCACTGATATACATATACCTACCAGTGTAATATAAAAGCTTTCCAATTACGATAAAAATTTCATGTTGTAAGAAATTTGATCAAACAATCAGCGCATCTGGAAGCAAGTTTTCTCCTTGTACAAATGGTTTTTTGTCTTCTTTTCTTTTTATTATTACACTTTCATTTCTTTGTGAACTGTTATGAACAAACTATCATCCGTTGTTAGTATTTTTTTGCGTGCAGTTGCAAGTGAAATTCCATTTTTTTTTTCTTTTTCTGTCTTTATTTTTAAAAATATTTTTTAAATAAAGTTTAATCCATGAAATTATTTGCTTTTCTATTTCATGTATCAGTTTGAGCTAATTTATCGTTATGTTTTTGCAAATAATCTCAGGAGATAAATGTATTTTTACAAAATATATGCTAATTTTATTTTTTTGAAATTAGTATTTGCACATCTTGTTTTACATTGTATCTTTCTTCCTACCTTTCATTTTTCTTTTCTTTTTTTTTTTTTTTTTTTTTTTAGGATTTATTAAATTAAATAATGCATATATTTATGAAATCAATGAAAATTTTACTTTCCAATGTTTTTGCTATTTAAATTATTTGTTTAGTGAAATTTGAAACGTTAAACTTAGGAGTGATTTCATATTAAACTAAACTCCTCAAATTTCAATATATTTGCTGCTTCTAAATACCAATGATATATGTCTTCTCTTTTATTTTTTTCCTTTCTTTTTTTCCTTTTTTTTAAGTGCTTAATTTATCAATTTAACTGTAAAATTTGAGTATGAGAAAATATTGCTATCATTCATTTTAACCTTGAAAAAAAGTTCCCTTCAAAGCATTGCAAGTTTTTATTTTTTAGCACTATATTTCCTATACTTTGGCCTTCTTTTCTTTCACATTCATTACGATGTTTTGCTTTTGAAATTTCAAATTTTAAAAGTTTCAAAGCGCAAAGTTATACTTCTTTTGAATTTAACAAAAATTAATTCATGTGTTTTTTTTTATTCTTTTTCTGTAATTTCATTTATTTATTAAAAAAAGAAAAATCAGAGTATCTTAGCAATGATTATTTCCTATAAATTCCATGAAATTGAACAAAGAAAAAAACTTATTCGAAGTATTTAATGTATTCTTTACAAAATTTAACATTATTTGATTATATTTCTTCTCCTGCGGAAATCGATTTATGCATTATTTAATTATATTTGTTCTCCTAAGTTATATGCCATGATGATATTATTTAAATTAAATAATATAATTAACATTTTAATTTAAAACAATTCATTTTAGCAATATTCAAATGTGGCTATTTATTACTGCGGTATTGCTTGGCGATATTTTGCAACAAAAATTTAGTGAAAGTTGGCCTGATCCGCATCTGCGTTCAAAAGGTGCCATTTGGCCACAACCACAATATCTCATAATTGGTAACGAATCTACAACAGTTAATTTAGATGCGTTTACTTTTGTATCAACCGTTGGACAGTGTGAAATTATTGATAAAGCAATCATTCGTTATCATAAACGTTTATTTGGTGAAATTCGACGTAATGAATTAAAAAAGATTAAACGACAAAATCATAACAAAATAATTGATAATCAGGTATAATTTAGCTTTGTAGAGATTGAATGAATTAATAAATAAAAGTAATGTATATATATTTTTCTCATCTAAGAAAACGAAATTGAAAAAAAAACGAAAAATACAGTTTTATTTATTTAAGTTGAAATATTTATTAGTTTAGTCAAAGTGATAATTTATCATTTATTTGAGTAAATTAATAAATGAAGTAATTTAATAATTCATTTTTTTTTAAAGCAATATGTGTACAAACCTGTTTTTCTTCTTTTTCTTTTTTGAGAATTATTTAATCAGTCAATTAATTTAATCAAATTTGTACTATTTATTATTTATAGATTCTTAGCAATTTGACAATAACGGTAGAGGAAGGATGCACTAATCGATTTCCGCAATTTGGTATGGATGAGAGTTATAAATTAATTGTTACAAGCAATGATGCGGTTTTGAGAGCTAATCAGGTTTTTTTTTTTTTTGTTCCTTTGTTTTTCTACTTTTTCTTTTTAAATCAAGATTAAAATGAAATTTATTTTTTTTGTGGGAAGTTTAAAAACAAAAGCATATAAAATCTAGGTTTGGGGCGTGTTGAGAGGAATGGAATCATTTGCGCAATTATTTTTTGATAGGAATACCAAAATACACAAGGTTGACATTCGTGATTATCCACGTTTTTTTCATCGTGGAGTGTTATTGGATACAGCCAGGTTAAGTAATTACATTTAATTTAATTTCATGTTATTTAATAAAATGAAATTTGAATTCAAAATGAGGAAACAATTGAAGATGGAAGAAAAAATAAAAGATTTTGCATAAGGTAGCTGCTTAATTCAAGAAGGAAAAAAAGGAAGGCAATAAGAATTGGTTTAAATTAATGATCAGTCATAATAATATTTATTTCACTGATAATCATTTCCAGTCATCTAATTTTAATTGATAATCTAATTCGTGTTATATAGAGCTCAATTTTAGTACTAAATTATTTTCATCAGTTTTATTCATTCATACATCTAATCCATATGTGATTTTTACAAAATGTTTAAATTATTTTTTTCTCAGTTATGTTGTAAAATTCTTATAAAAAATCAATTAATTTATTTAATTATCTAACTTATTATCAATCATTCCAGTACTAACAATCATAAAATAAATTTTTCATAATTTTTTGTTAGCTCTTATTTACATATATAATTTATGCATGATTGCTTTAATATTATTTTTTTTTTTTTCGTTTTTTTCGTTTTTGGAATACTTCTCATTTTCTTTTTTCTTCAGTATAACTTAAACAGCTTTGATTGATCATTATGGATGTGATTTTTTTTCGTTAATTAGCAAAATAATTCATTTGATCGTAAAATTAATCAATTAAAGGTAAACAAAAAAAAAATTGCAGGCATTATTTATCAGTTAATGTTATTAAAGCAAATATTGAATTAATGGCACAAAATAAATTTAACACATTTCATTGGCATATTGTTGATATCGAGTCATTCCCGTATCAGTCTGAAGTGATTCCAGAATTAATCAAAGGAGCTTATACACCAAATCATATTTATACCATATCACAAATTAAGGTTTTAAATTTATGAAAATCTTCCAGAAATGCTAAAATGTTGTAATAATTAGTAAAATTAAAAATGTATTAACAATTAATTACCAACATGATTTAATTGCTAGTAATCATTGCAAAAAATGACATAAGTTTATGCAAATTTTTTTTGTTCATAAATAATTTTACATACGTATTTTTTATGCATTAAGAATGATAAATATTACATTAACATTTGTATTCATCTCTCTCTTTTTTTGTTAATGAATAAAGTAAGTGGATTTTTTTAGGTTGGAAATGTTGATTTTTATATTTCTTTGTTAATAAATTTTTGAAACTATAATTTAAGGATATAATAGATTATGGTCGATTACGTGGTATACGTGTGCTACCGGAATTCGATACACCGGGACACATGAAATCATGGGGAATTGGTGTAAAAGATCTTTTAACAAAATGTTATCATTCAAATGGTTCATTATATCAAAATTTTGAAAATTTATTAGATCCAACAAATTCAAATACATGGGATGTATTAAGTGCACTCTTTCAGGTTGCTATTTTTTCTTTTTTTTTCTTAATTAAATATTTTCTATGCAAAGAATATTTTTTTATTTAAATATTAATTAAATACTTAATTAAATATTTTTTTTTTTCTTTCTGTTTTGCATTCAAATATAACTAAAACTTGAATAATTAAAAAAATTTTTTTTAGTTAAATATTTTCTATACAAGGAATTTTTTCTTTTGCTTTTTTTATTTTTTGCTTTCAAATATGATTGAAATTTATTATTTATTTATTTTTTATTAGTTAATAAATTGAATTATTATTGATTATTTATTTTAATTTAATAAATACTTATTAAATTATTATTTTAATATTTTTTAAAATTATGCTTTAATTTATTAGTTAATAAATACAATTATTATTGATTATTTATTTTAATTTAAAATTTTTTGAATTATTAAATTATTATTTTAATATTTTTTTAATTAATTATTATTTGAGTAAATTATTGTTTGATTACTGATGAGAAATTTTCAGGAAGTTTTTGCAGTATTCCCGGAAAATTATGTTCATCTTGGTGGTGATGAAGCAGAATATTGGTTTACTGAATGTTGGAC